AACATACCAGCTATTGACAGGTGTAAGCCCTGCCAGGATCTGTGTGAGTTGCAGTCCAGGGAGACCTGAGGCAGGAGGACGCTGGTACTTTGGACTGTTATGGGTGGAGCCCTCAAGCGAGAGAGAGGTAGAGGAAAAGGAAGCCATAGAAGTACATGAGCCTTTCTGAAGGAGGGTGGATGTTTTCATAGTGTTAGCAGAAGTGATTAGAGGAAGTAATGGGCCCTGAGTGATGCTTTATTTATAAAAACCCTGTATGCTTTATTGGAAGAAAGGTTGTGGAGGAATCATGGGGTTAGTTCTGGAAGTAGGTGACCAACCAGAAGGTTGTTGGAGTAATCTTGAGTACAAAATGAATATTGCTTGCATAATAAAGCATGTGCTCCCACATCCATGCTATGGCACTGTGCTTGCATACATGGTCTTACTCTTTTTCTTTTTTTTTTTTGGTGGAACTCACTTGGTAGTCCAGGCTGGCCTCGAACTCACAGAGATCCGCCTGGCTCTGCCTCCCGAGTGCTGGGATTAAAGGCGTGCGCCACCACCGCCCGGCGGTCTTACTCTTAAGAGCTACAGGTATCCAATGATTTAGAAGACAGCCTTGGGACCCAGTGGAAAGCCTTCATGATTGTAGCCTTTGTTTACAAGTCCGTCCTCACAGGAGATACTTCTGTAGACCACGGACACAAAGCTTTCTGTGGGAGTTAATTCAGCCCTTAAATAATGGGGCTCACTAAGAGAGGCATTACAGGGAGAACCCTTGCAGGTGTCTCTAAGAACCCCCCCCACACACACTCCCCGCCCCGTAGCATGAAGCACCCCTGGTGACAAAATGCCAGACCGTGAATGAGCATTTGTGTAAAGTTCCGGGACACCAGGGCTGTGAACACGCGACCCCATGCCCTTCACCTTCCCTGCTGGGACGTCCTCTTTTCCAGTGATAAATGAGTCACTTATTAAGGATTCACTGTACAAGGTTTTCAGTTCTAGCTGCCCAATTTAGCTCTGGTTCCTGTTCAGAGACCTTGCAGGAGGCAGAGAGCATGTGGGAAGGCCAGGCCTGAGACCTTCCATTCCATCCTCTGGCTTCCAAGGTGTGCTGTTGTATTCTTACAGTTGCTCAAGTACTTCCTAGTTTTACCTCACATTCTTTGACCTCCTTCTTTTCTGTAGCTAATTGCCAGCGTTACACATCCTAAGACTGCTCCTTCGGGCTGCTGCCCTTGGCCTTGAGCTGTGTGCATCTCAGTTGTACCCATGAGTGCCTCCCTCCACCTTGGCTGTCTTACATGTTCGTGGCACTGGCTCTACTGTCTTCTTCAGGGTCTTATGTATAAGACATTTTTAATTTTTGGTGTCCTGTGCTTAGCAGAGTCTCGAAAGTGACCTCTTACTGCTTGGGAGCCTGGCTCTTGACCTAGATTCTTGTATTTTCAGCTCAGGCACCGTTGATGAATTTAAAAGCACGTGCATTTCATCACTAAGCTAAGAGGAAAAGTGAAGGGATTCATCAGTCACAATAGAATATTCTGGGTCATTATATAACCAAGCTGTCACATTGGTACAACTGTTTTAGGAAGTGGGACTGTTCCTGTCCTCACTTTAGCCTGTCACAAAGGTCATTTCAGCCAAGGCAGCTACCTATTGAGCTTATTCAACATTATTCTCCATATATATATACCATATATATATGATCAGCTAGTGGCTGCTGGTTACCTAGTCCTTGCCCAACTTGGGTATAACAGTTTGTTCTAACCTCATTTCAGGTTTGTCTACAGTTTTCCTCAGCTATACTTGGAATAGGGCAAAGGACTCATTTCCCTGGGTACTTACAAGTACTCCTTGCTCCTGTGTCCTATTCCTGAGAAGATTTCCTGTTTGACACACTGTCTTGGACTCCAGAAAACTTACTTAGTTCAAATTCAAACACAGCAGAAGAAAATGAACCCTGTTTTTAACTCTTTTGTAGTATTATCATGTGAATCTGCACTAGAGGACCCGTCTCCCTCAGACTGCACTGCTAAATGCTACATTAATGTTACTTGTGCACACACTAATACTTATATGTCTATATTCAGCTCCAGCCAAAGATCTTCTTGGCTATAGAACTGTCTATCTTCTCTAGAACCAATGAAAACTGACTGTATGTCCATCTCTCCAGAGTTGAATTCATCTCCCATTCTTCTCACAAACCTACCTCTACATCAGCACTTCCGATCTGGGTAAATGCTCACCATCTCTCCATCCACCAGAAACCTTCACGTCTTCATCTCCTTCATCCACTGACTTTCCAAAATGTGTTGATTTCTCTCCCCAAGAGCTCTTAAATCTGTTCTTTCTTCTTCCTCTGTTCATACCCTAAGTAACTGGGTCCTCTCCTTGCTATGGGGCCTGGAGGTGATAGGTGCCTCACCCTGTTGTGGGTGTCTCTGCCTGGTAAGTAGTGACTGTCCTGCCCAGAGCTGACTACAGTTGAGTTGAGCCCTTTCTAATGTCATCTGTTTCTTGCTGCATTTTTGATACTTACCTGAAGTCACGTTGTGCTCTGCGTTCAGAGTGAAGTACGTATTCCTTATGTAGAAATGGCCATTGTTTACCTCCAGCTGAGGTGTCCAGATGGCTCCTTGTATCTGTCCTTGCTTCCTCATCCCTGAGTTTATCTGCTATGACATCACTCATGTAGTAATGCTCACGTTTGTCATCTCTCAGGCTTGAAACGTTTGTCATCTCTCAGTCTTAGTGCTTGTAACTTATTCTTGAGTCATCTGCTTGTATTTCTTTTCTACGAAGCTTCCCTTAACTCTTCCCATCTACTCTAGGACCAAAGACACTCTGTTCTCGGTACATGTATGATGCTCATATGTGACCCAAGAGTGTTGGCTCGGTGTGGTACTGCTGTTCTCGGTGCATGTATGATGCTTCTATGTGACCCAAGAGTGTTGACTCTGGGTGTGATACTGCTGTTCTCGGTGCATGTATAATGCTCATATGTGACCCAAGAGTGTTGACTCTGGGTGTGATACTGCTGTTCTCGGTGCATGTATGATGCTCATATGTGATCTAAGAGTGTTGACGCTAGATGTGACGTTTTCAGACAGACACTTGCTAAATTAGGAAGAGTGAAGGACTCTAATCACCATGTAGAAGCATTTTTGGTAATAGAATTCTAAAAACTATGACAATCTCCCTTTGCACACATTTTTTAAAAATAATTAAATACTTAGGAAACCCATTTATTTTATTTTTTATCTTCCAGTTCCAAGATGTAAATCTCTGAAGGAAATGGACTTAATTAAAACTTCTGTGTCAGACTGTTACTGCTACAATCAAAATTCACAAATAGAGTGGACATATATGTGGTCAACTGTGCAGGTTAGGCCTACTTTTATATCATGTCTTAAAAATGTGGAATTAAAATGCACCACTTTGGGATTTAAAATCAGGATGAAAGCTAACGTGAGGGACATATGGAGGCTCAAGGAGGTGTTATGTGGGAGAGGATATTAATTCCCCTTTATATCTGCCCAGACCTTCTCCTGACCATTCCTAATGAATATACTGTCTAAGTCAGTGGTTCTCAACCTGTGGTTCATGACCCCATTGGAGGGGTCAAACAGCCCTTTCACAGGGGTCACCTAAGACCACCAGAAAGTACAGATATTTACATTATGATTCATAAAAGTAGCAAAATTATAGTTATGAAGTAGCAATGGAAAGAATTTCATGGTTGGGGTGACCACAACATGAGGAACCAACTATATTAAAGGGTCACAGCACTAGGAGGGTTGAGGACCAGTTCTCTGAGGACACAAAGAGGCAGTAATAAAAAGCGATGAGAGAACTCACTGAGAATGTGACATTTCAGAAAGACTTTGGTAAAGAGAATTGCCAACGTGGTTGATGGGGGAAGAAGTGCTGTAGGCTGAGGGATAGTCTGACTTTGTCCCAGGACATGATGTCGACTTGTACCCTTTCTAGAGAATAAGATGTTCGAGGCTCATGTGGTTTCTTGTGCCATCATGCCTGGGGCATCTTGTACATTTTTTCCAGGGACTTTTTGGGACAGGAAGGTGCAGTAATCCATTCGGCACATCCCTTGTACTCTTCACCAAGTGACCTTACAATTCCAACACCTCCTCCCCATCTTCACGCTTGGCTAATGACCCTTCTACTTCATTAAAAATGGGGGGGAATCCTCTGAGGAACAGGGGGTGGAAAGATTGTAAGAGCCAGAGGGGTGAAAAACGCCAAGGAAACAAGGCCTTTTAGACACAACAGGACTGATGGACATGAGAACTCACAGAGACTGTGGCAGAGACTGTGGCAGCATGCACAGGACCTGCACAGATCTAAGCCAGATGGGGTCCCAGTGCCGAGACGGGAAGTGGACACAAGCCCCCGTCTCCACCTGGAAGCTATCTCCAGCTCACAACTGTGCAGAGGAAAAGTTAGTTTTCTCTAGTGGAGTCTCACTGGGGAAGGCAGCCCCTTGTGTAGCAGTAGATGGGTAACACAAAATGAACTCAATGATATTTTTTATAGTTTTTTAAACTATTATTTTTACAGGTCTTTTGCTCATATATCCTGTTTTCCAATTCTGTGTTTTTATGGGATTTGTGTGTGTGAATTTTTGTCTCTATATGTGTTTCTTCTTTTTTTCTTTCTTTCTTCCTTTCTTTTTTCTTTTCTTTTCTTTTTTTTTTTTCGAGACAGGGTTTCTCTGTGGTGTTTTGGTGCCTGTGCCTGTCCTGGATCTCGCTTCTCGCTTTGTAGACCAGGCTGGCCTCGAACTCAGAGATCCGCCTGGCTCTGCCTCCCAAGAGCTGGGATTAAAGGTGTGCGCCACCACCACCCAGCTCTATATGTGTTTCTTGTGATTTTTCTTTGGGTACTTTTTTCTGTTTGTTTTTTATTATTTATTTATTGTAGATGCCTGTTTATTTTCAAATCAGAGGAAAAAAAGGGTGTGGATTTGGGTGGGTGGGGAGGTTCTGGGAGAAGTTGGGGGAGGGGAAACCATGATCAAAATATATTGGATGAGAAAAAGTTATTTTCAGTTAAAAAAAAATGTAAAAAGTAAAGATTGAGGTCATGTATGGGGAAGAAAAAGAAGTGGGGAAAAAATCAGAAATGCTTGTGTACTGTCTTTTTTCTCAACATCCACCCACCTCAGCACCTGTAGGCACACGCTCTGCTCCCTGCCTGTGGAGACAAAATGTCTACGTCAGAGGAGGTGTGTGCGTCTGAGCCCTTGACTGGTGCACTGGTCAGACCCACCCTTGCCTGTCCACGGGATGATTCCTACAAAGTGACAGGAGTACTTTTCTGTTTGTGAGATGTCACGATTCTGTGGACTCCATTTCTTTGCTCTAGCTCTTCTTCATTTCTCTACTTCCCACTGTAGTGGAATTCCTTTTGAAGTTGACGTCTGCAGCCTGCGCTTCTCCCATTTTCTATGCACTTTGGCCGGTCAGACTTTCACACCTAGGACCCTAGCACCTCCATGCTGCTAACTTCAGTGTGACGTCAGTGTGTGACGCATGGTCTCCAAGTCCCAAGTGCTGGGACTAGAGCCACATGCTCTGTCAGACCTACAAAACATCCACTCCCCAAGGCATCTGTAGACTAAATGTGAGTGTGACGTTCCAGCCACTCGGGACCAGAGCCCTGTCCTGTGCATCGGAGCATTCTTCCCTCAGCCATTCCTGGGTTCTTACTCCTTGGCTTGAGCTGAGGGGAAGGTTTTGACTCTGCCTGGATTGATCCGGTCTTGTTTTGTAGGTGACAGTTAGCAGTCCAGGTCTGCTCAGATTTGTATATGTCACAGGAAGTCATAATTGCCAGCATCCAGAAACCATCCTATCATTTATCAAATGTGTGATTCATAACTTTTGGGTACCAGAGGAGTCTAAGGAAATGACCATGGTCTTCAGTCCATATGGAAAAACTGTATGCTTCTCTGTGAAGCCCATCGGGAGGGTGTTCACCTACTCAGTGAGCGTGGACCAAAAGAGTAAGTCTGTTGTCGTTATAGTTGACTGGACTTTCAGTAAGTTGATTTGCTTGTTCTTTCTGCGACTTTATACTCTGACACAAATATCCGTGGTGTTGGTGTCTTTTTATTTTCCAGTTGTGGATTTCAAACTCTTCCTTGTATTTGTGTCAGGCATTTTCCTCTTCTTTTATGCAAAGACCTTGAGCCGGTAAGTACCCATTTTTACATTTGTAGTGTTCCGATGCAAAGCTGTATGCATTGTTTCTGACTCTGTGCAGAATATTTGCCCACCACTGCACGTTTGTGGTTCTTCTGGGATTTACAAATTATAGGGCTGAAGGCAGCATAGAACATCTTTAAAGACAGCGGTAATTGTTTGTAGAGCAGATACATACATGGTGCAGAGTATGTTTGCTTATGTTAGTTTACATATGTACACACATATGAACTTGGTTCTGCTCTTCTTATTTTGTTGATTACAGAACCCACATCCGTCATCACTTGACTTGATCTCATGAGTGCCAAGGTTTGTGCTCAGGTTTTCTGATGCCAGGGGCTTGCTGTCTTTATTTGGATATTGGATGTGACAAAGACTTGCTTCTTGGATGCACATGTTGCCCTGATGTTTTGTTTCTTGTAATTTATAAAAACCACTCTCTTGACAATATTTACTTCTTAACCTGCCTAGCCTGCTTCGTACCAATATTTCTCCATCATTCCTACCATTGTTCACTTTTGAGCTTTTCCTTAGGGTGTGGTCAGGTATGTATAGGTTGTCTGCCAGCTTTCTGACTGAGTAATATATCGGCGGCAAGAAGAGGAAAGCCTAGATGCTGACAAGCCAGGCTGCTGTCCTAAATCCTCCAGCAGCTGACTCACTTCTTCTTTTATTGTTTGTTTGTTTGCTTGCTTCTTTATTCATTTTACATATCAACCACAGATCCCCCTCTCATCCCTCATCCTGCTCTCTCTCACCTTCCCCCCCACCCCTTATCCCCTTCTCCAACAGGGTAAGTTCTCCCATCTGGGGACAGCTAAGCCTGATGCGTTCAGTTAAGGCAGGACCAAGCCCCTCTCCGCTTTATCAGGGTTGAGCAAGGTGTCCCACCATAGGTAATGCACCAGGGATAGATCCTGATCACACTGGCCCCTGAAACAGACCCAGCTACACAACTGTCTCTTGTATGCAGAGGGTCTAGTCCAGTCCCATGCAGGTTTCACAGCTGTTGATCTAAAGTTCGTGAGTTCCTTTGAGCTTAGTTCAGTTGTCTCTGTAGATTTCCCCATCATGATCTTGACCCTCCCCCCTTGCTCATATAATTCCTCTTCCCTCTCTTCAACTGGACTCCCAGAGCTCAGCCTGGGGCATGGTTGTGGATCTCTGCCTCTGCTTCCATCAGTTACTAGATGAAGGCTCTATGATGACAGTTAGGGTATTTACCAATCTGATTACCAGGGGAGGACAGTTCAAGCACCCTTTCCACTGTTGCTAGTAGTCTAAGCTGGGGTCATCCTTGTGGATTTCTGGGAATTTCTCTAGCACCAGGTTTCTCCCTTCCCCCATGTCTCCCTCTATCAAGGTATCTCTTTCATTGCTCTCCCACTCTGTCCCTCCCCCATCTTGACCATCCTGTTCCCTCGTGTTCTCATCCCCCACCCCCTACCCTCTATTGTCCCCCATCTCCAGTTTACTCATCAGGATCTCCTGTTTCCCCTTCCCAAGGTGATCTGTACATCCCACTTAGGGTCCTCCTTATTTCCTAGCTTCTTTGGAGCTGTGGGTTGTAGTCTGATTATCCTACTTACCTACTTATGAGTGAGAACATACCATGTTTGTCTTTCTGAGTCTGGGTTACCTCACTCAGGATATTTTCTAGTTCCATCCATTTGCCTGCAAATTTCATGATGTCATTATTTTTTACAGCTGAGTAATACTCCATTGTATATATATGTGCCACATTTTTTTTTTTATCCATTCCTTGGTTTGAGGAGCATCTAGGTTGCTTCCAGGTTCTGGCTTTTACGAATAATGCTTCTATGAATATAGTTGAGCAAGTGTCCTTGTGGTATGATTGAGCATCCCTTGGGTCTATGCCCAAGAGTGGTATCATTGGGTCTTGAGGTAGATTGATTTCCAATTTTCTGAGAAACTGCCATACTGATTTCCAAAGTGGCTGTACAAGTTTGCACTCCCACCAACAGTGGAGGAGTGTTCCCCTTGCTCCACATCCTCTCAACATAAGCTGTCATCAGTGTTTTTTACCTTAGCCATTCTGACAGGTGTAAGATGGTATCAGAGTCATTTTGCATTTCCCTGATGACTAAGCCTTAAATGTCTTTTGGCCATTTGGGATTCTTCTGTTGAGAATTCTCTGTTTAGATCTGTACCCCTCTTTTTTTTTGGAAGGTTCTACATTTTATTACTGGACAAACTACTCCCCCAACTTAAAACACGACCAAGTCTTCAGGTTAAAATGTTGAACTCCACGTGGTAGGATTGCTTGATGACCCACAATTCAGTATAAACTGTCTTGCCATTGTGTGAATCCTTACAGACCCAGCTTTGTTCTCCTCCAGTGTCTTCTCTTGGAGTTGTATCTTATTTTGTTACCAGTTTTCATCCGAATCCACTGAGGAATGGGACGATTTTGCTTTTGTTTCTTGGCCAGGAATCGCTTGATTCTGAAAGTCTTGTGAGAAGACATGGTGAGAAGCCAAGTCAGGAGCCCACCGCACGATGGAGGAGGAAAGGAGAAGAGGCTGTACCCCTCTTTTTAATGGGATTGTTTCTTGAGTTCTTTATATATTTTGGAGATCAGTCCTCTGTCAGATCTGGGGTCGGTGAAGATCTTTTCCCATTCTGTAGGCTGTCGTTTTGTCTTATTTACTGTGACCTTTGCCTTACAGAAGCTTCTCATTTTCAGGAGGTTCCATTTATTAATTGTTGCTCTCAGTGTTTGTGCTACTGGTGTTACATTTAGAAAGTTGTCTCCTGTGCCAGTACATTCCAGGCTATTTCCTACTTTCTCCTCTATCAAGTTCAGTGTAACTGGATTTATGTTGAGGTCTTTGATCCCCTTGGATTTGAGTTTTGTGAATGGTGATAGATATGGATCTATTTTGCATTCTTCTACATGCTGATATCCAGTTATGCCAGCACTATTTGTTGAAGACGCTTTCTTTTTTCCATTGTACTCTTTTTGGCTTCTTTGTCAAAAATCAGGTGTTCATAGGTGTGTGGATTAGTGTCAGGATCTTCAATTCGATGCCATTGGTCCACATGTCAGTTTTTATGCCAGTACCAAGCTGTTTTTATTACTATAGCTCTATAGTAGAGCTTGAAGTTGGGGATGGTGATGCCTCCAGAAGTTGCTTTATTGTAAAGGATTGTTTTAGATATCCTGGGTTTTCTGTTTTTCCATATTGTTGAGTTTTGTTGAAGTTGAGTATTGCTCTTTCAAGGTCTGTGAAGAATTGTGTTGGGATTTTGATGGGGATTACACTGAATCTGTAGATGGCTTTTGGTAAGATTGCCGTTTTTATTATGTTGGTTCTACCTATCCATGAGTATGGGAGATTTATTCATTTTCTGATATCTTCTTCAGTTTCTTTCTTCAAGGACTTAAAGTTCTTGTCATACAGGTCTTTCACTTGTTTGGTTAGAGTTACCCCAAGATATTTTACGTTATTTGTGGCTATTATAAAGGGTGATGTTTCTCTGATTTCTTTCTTGGCCCGTTTATCATTTGTGTATAGGGGGACTATTGATTTTTTGAGTTAATCTTGTATCCTGCCACATTGCTGAAGGTGTTTATCAGCTGTAAGAGTTCCCTGATAGAATTTTTGGGGTCACTTATGTATACTATCATATCATCTGCAAATAGCAAAAGTTTGACTTCTTCCATTCCAGTTTGTTTCCCCTTGATCTCCTTTTGCTGTCTTCCTGCTCTGGCTAGAACTTGGAGTACTATATTGAATTAATATGAGGAGAATGGACAGCCTTGTCTTGTTCCTGTTTTTAGTGGAATCACTTTGAGTTTCTCTCCATTTAATTTGATATTGGCTGTCATATCAGCTTGCTGTAAATTATCTTTATTATGTTTAGGAATGTTCCTTGTATTCTTGATCTCTCCAAGACCTTTATCATGAAGGGGTGTTGGATTTTGTCAAAGGCATTTTCAGCATCTAATAAGATGATCATGTGGTTTTTTTCTTTCAGTTTGTTTATATGGTGGACTACATTTACAGATTTTCGTATGTTGAACCATCCCTGCATCTCTGGAATGAAGCCTACTTGATCATGATGGATGATTTTTTTAATGTGTTTTTGGATTCAGTTTGTCATTATTTTATTGAGTATTTTTGCATCAATGTTGATGAGGGAGACTGGTCTGTAATTTTCTTTCTTAGTTACATCTTTGTGTGGTTTGGGTATCAGGGTAACTGTAGCCTCATAGAGTTTGGCAGTGTTCCTTCTGTTTCTATTGTGTGGAACAATTTGAGGAGTATTGGTATTAGCTCTTTGAAATTCTGGTAGAAATCTGTGCTGAAACCTTCTGGCCCTGGGCTTTTTTTGGTTGGGAGACTTTTAATGACTGCTTCTATTTCTTCTATTTCTGTAAGAGTTATAGGCCTATTTAAATAGTTTATCTGGTCTTGATTTAATTGGGGTATATGGTACCTATCCAGAAATTTGTCCATTTCTTTTAGATTTTCCAATTTTTTGAAGTATAGGTTTTTGAAGTATGACCTGATAAATCTCTGGATTTCCTCATTGTCAGTTGTTATGTCTCCCTTTTCATTTCTGATTTTTTGTTAATTTGGATATTCCCTCTCTGCCTTTTGCTTAGTTTGGATAAGGGCTTGTCTATCTTGTTGATTTTCTCAAAGAACCAACTCTTTGTTTCATTGATTCTTTGTATTGTTCTCTTTGTTTCTATTTTATTTATTTCAGTCCTTAGTTTGATTATTTCCTTTTGTCTATTCCTCCTGGGTGAGTTTGCTTCTTTTTGTTCTAGAGCTTTCCGATATGCTGTTAAGTTGCTAGTGTGAGATTTCTCCAACTTCTTTATGTAGGCATTTTGTGCTATGAACTTTCCTCTTAGTACTGCTTTCATAGTGTCCCATAGGTTTGGGTACGTTGTACATTCATTTTCCTTAAATTCTAGGAAGTCCTTAATTTCTTTATTATTTCTTTCTTGACCCAATGATGATTCATTTGAGCGTTGTTCAGTTTCCATGAGTTTGTAAGCTTTCTGTAATTTGTATTGTTGTTGAATTCTATCTTTAAGGCATGGTGGTCTGATAAAATACAGGAGGTTATCCCAATTTTTTTGTATCTGTTAAGATTTGCTCTGTGACCAAGTATGGGATCAATTTTAGAGGTTTCATGAGGTGCTGAGAAGAAGGTATATTCTTTTGTGTTTGGGTGAAATGTCTTATAGATGTCTGTTAAGTTCATTTGAGTCATAACCATCTGTTAGTTCCCTTATTTCTCTGTTAAGTTTCTGTCTGGCAGACTGGTTGGTCCATTGGTGAGAGTGGGGAGTTGAAGTCTCCCGCTGTTAGTGTGTGGGGTTTGATGTGTGATTTAAGCTTTAGTAATGTTTCTTTTACAAATGTGAGTGCCCTTTGGAGCAGAATTGAGACTTCATCTTGTTGAATTTTTCCTGTGATGAATATGTAATGTCCTTCTTGATCTCTTTTGATTAATTTTAGTTTGAAGTCTATTTTGTTAGATATTAGGATAGCTACACCAGCTTGTATCTTAGGTCCACTTGATTGGAAAATCTTTTCACAACCCTTTACTCTGAGGTAGTGTCTGTCTTTGAGGTTGAGGTGTGTTTCTTGTATGCAGCAGAAAGATGGATCTTGTTTTCATATCCATTCTGTTAGCCTATGCCTTTTTATGGGTGAATTGAGTCCATTGATATTAAGGAATATTAATGACCAGTGATTGTTAATTTCTGTTATTTTTTTGGTGGTAATGTTGTGTGTTTCCCTTCTTTAGGATTTGTTGGTGTGGGATTATTTATTGCCTGTGTTTTCATGGGTGTATCTAACTTCTTTAAGTTGGATTTTTCCTTCTAGTGCTTTCTGTAGGACTGAATTTGTGGATAGGTATTGTTTAAATCTGGTTTTATCATGGGATATTTTGTTTACTCTGAATATGGCTATTGAGAGTTTTGCTGGGTGTAATAGTCTGGGCTGGCATCCATGGTCTCTTAGTGTCTGCATAATGTCTGTCCAGGACCTTCTGACTTTCAGAGTCTCCGTTGAGAAGTCAAGTGTTATTCTGATGGGTCTGCCTTTATATATTACTTGGACTTTTTCCTTTGCAGCTCTTAATATTTCTTCTTTATTCTGTATATTTAGTGGTTTGATTATTATGTTGTGAGGGGACTTATTTTTTGGGTCCATTCTGTAACCTTCTTGTATCTTCATAGGCATTTCATTCTTTAGGTTGAGAATGTTTTCTTCTATGATTTTGTTGAATATATTTTCTGTGCTTTTGAGTTGGTATTCTTCTCCTTCTTCTATACTTATTATTCTTAGGTTTGGCTTTTTCATGGTGCCCCAGATTTCCTGGACGTTTTGTGTTATGACTTTTTGTCTTTAGTATTTTCTTTGACTGACAAATCTATTTCCTCTATTGTATCCCCCACGCCAAAGATTCTCTCTTCCATCTCTTGTATTCTGCTTGCATTGGTAGTTCCTATTTGTTTACTCAGATTTTCTATTTCCAGCATTCCCTCTGTTTGTGTCTTCTTCATTGTTTCTATTTCAATTTTCAGGTCTTGAACTGTTTCCTTCATCTGTTTAATTGCTTTTTCTTGCTTTTCTTGGCTTTCTTTAAGGAATTTATTGCTTTCTTCCAATTTTTTGTTTATCTTTTCCTTAATTTCTTTAAGGGAATTTTTCATTTCCTCTTTAAAGGCCTCTATCATCTTCTTAGAGTCAATTTTAAGGTCATTTTCTTCTGCTTTTTAAACATTGGGATGTTCAGGTCTTACTGATGTAGGACCACTAGGTTCTGATGGTGCCATATTGCTCTTATGTTGTTGAATGTATTCTTGCATTGGTCTACCCATCTCTTCCTCCAATTTGTGCAAACGGTGTCTGTGTCTCAGGGAGCCATTTTTGGTCCAGTTGGAGCTCTTGGTCCAATTGGAGCTGGTGGAGTCTGTGTCTCAGGGAGCAGCTGAGGTTTCTTGGTCCAATTGGAGCTCTTGGTCCATTTGGAGCTCTTGGTCCAATCAGAGCTGTCAGAGTCTGTGTCTCAGGGAGCAGCTGTGGTCTCGGAGGATAGGTGGGTTTGGGGGGTGGATTGGGGCTTTTAGGTTACAGGATCTGGTGGCGGGGGTGGGGAGGTGGGGGGGTAGTCAGGCCTGCCCGCTGGGGCTGCAATTGGTGGGGTATGGGAGTACTAGCTGTACCCCTGAGCCTAAAGCCTAGAGGCTGGGGTGATTGCCTAGGAGAACAAAGTCGGAGCTGGCAGAGTCTGTCCCGGTTCACTTCTTGCTATCTCGGTTTCCTCCTCTGTAAGATTTATCCCTGGGTATCTGGGAATTCCTGGAGAGCTCTCAGGCAAGTGCTTGCTATATGACAGGTACACATGTTGGTGGATCACATTCTGAATATAGAAGATAATTCAGACGTTCAGCAGTAGTCTATTTACTGAAACTTTCAAGTACCAATTTCAATTTTAAATATGTAGGATGTGATTAGAGTTTTCCTTTCTTAATATTCCTTGCTAGTCACTGTCGCCACATTGAGTGTTAAGATTTTTTTTCAGTTTTTATTACTGAAAATGCTGCTTTGTTGACATGGCTTTTCCTCTGTCTCGACAGAAGCCCTGTTTTCTATTACTCTTCGGGTACCTTGTTAGGTGTTCTGATGACGCTAGTCTTTGTCCTTCTGATGTCGAGGAGACACATTCCAAAGGTAGGTATCTTATATGCAAATGAGTGAAAATGGGAACCAAACTTAAAAAGTTAATCAAAATTAATTCATATTGTGATGCTTCCTAATTCAGCTGTGCTCCTTTGCTGTATAAATTGACCTTAAAATGTGTCTGTTTCTGAAAAGTCAGTTTGTGCTTATTAGTGATATATAGGATTATATTGTTTGGTGATATTTTTGGTACCCTTTTATGAAATGTATCATGGGAGAGTGATCCTGAGTCTTTGGAGCATTACATAATAGTGCCACATCTGGGTTTTTTATTCTTGTTGTTTCTTCTCTGCTCCTTCAATAAAATAATGTATAAAGGAGGTGGAGGGGAAAACTGTGGTTGTTATGTAAAAGAAATAAAAAGGTTAATAATAAAAAATATTGCAAAAAAATAATATCCCAAAGAATAAATAAATATTAATTCATGATTGTAACTTTGTGGTTACTCTGATTAAAGCTCTAAATACCACCATTGTTTTTTAGATAATTTTATACTTTAGTAGTGCTCTCCAACTTTAATGTACATGTTAGTCAACTGGGATGTGTGTTAAAATGTAGATTCCGGTCTAGCAGTGGGACCCAAGTCTACATGCCATTAAGCTCCCCTGTGAAAACGACTCTCCTCTGAGGACCATACCATGCCTTGAACATGAGACTCGGAGGGTATTAGATAAGTACTTTTACTTGACCTAGATGTTTCCAGAACAAAGAATTGGTTGGTTTGCTTCTACTTTTATGAGAGTGAATGAACCAAAATATATTCTATATATTTTGTGTCGTTTATTTTCTTCCGCACACAGCACAGCACGTTTGGGGCGCTAATGGTTGGTTGCTGGTTTGCTTCAGTTTACGCTGTGTGCCGGCTGATGGAAGATCTGAAGTGGCTGTGGTGTGGACACAGAGTGTATGTGTTAGGTAGGTAAACACAGAAGAACCCTTCGTTGGCTAGGCTGAAAGGTGCAAGCAGAGAATGTTGACATGTTTCTCTCATATAAATTCTCGTTTGATTTAAGGAGAGGTGCAATTAAAAATAATATTTTATTTCATTCCCATAGTTGGTATTTTAGTTCATTTGGATCCAATTTTAAACTATTTTCCTTTTTAACCTTCCTTAGTTTTCTGTACAAATCATCAAAAGAGTAAAAATGCTTCAGAATTGTGGCCGAACTCTAGTCACATCTAAGCCGTGATGTAAATGCTCTTAAGAGGTGGCTTCCTCTTCATCTCCCAGTGCTCTTTCTTTATGTATTCTGTATGAAAGGTGGGGGATGTAACTAATAAGAACTTGACTTTTCAGAAACAGAGGATAGAATTACTATTTAATCCCCTTGTTGTATGTTACAAAAATTATTTGATTCTGTTAGGAAATAATGGGAATTGGAGCCTCATCAACACCAGGTTCCACATATAAGGTCAATGTTGCTAAAATAAAAGCAACTCATTCTTAAACACTATTTTTAGCCTACTTTCCTATTATATTAAAGTAGTTATTATTTACTCATAACATGGAATATTCCTTCTTTACCCTTTGTCTCCAGACAACAAGAACATTTTCCTATATAACCAAATAACTATTCATTACTGTTGTTAATGCTAGCAATTGTCCCAGGGTGGCATGTATACTCGCCATCTGTTGTACCACTGAGTTATATCCTTAACCTCACTGGTAAATGTTAAAGATTAATAATTGCATAGAATCACCTATTGCCTGGGTCATATTAAGATTTTGAGTTACCCTTGCTGCCTGATTGTAAAACCTAGACATCGTGCTGAACCTCCAAAGCACCTGCTAGGCTGGGTAACTCTCTCGATCCATCATGGCTTATTTCATCACAGAGGCATCCTGTGAAAGGTCCACTCTCTGGATTTTTGTGGTGCCCATTTTGTGGCATCATTTAACATGTTCATTTCTCTTCCGAATCGACTGCAAATAAGAAATTGAATCTCAAGGTTTGCTTTGAAACAAAGTAAGCACTTGTGGTGGGAATCATTGGAAGTGATGTGCACTTCCCATCTGATGGCACTGGAACCTAATGTGTCACACCATTGACACCATTGGTAACCATGGACTGAGTGTAGCTAGCAAGGCTGGCTACCTGATCGCTCCTTTGTAAAGCGACATTCTCCTTTAGTGACTAGAACATAAACATTAAAAGTAGGGTTTATAGCAATCTGTGAAATCCACTGGTTTACTTTTGCCCAAGCAACCAGGAATCGTTTGTCCACCCAGGACACTGGACTTAGAAAGACATGACTATATATTACCGTAATTATCAGTGTATACCTTAAATTATTACAATTTAAAAACTGCTTGGTGGTTTCGAGTGCTCTTCCACAGGCCTGGAGTTTGCTCCCAGGACTTAGATTTGTTAGCTTGCAGCTGCCCGTAGTCCAGTTCCAGGGTATTGGCATCTTCTTCTGGCTTTGTGGGTACCACATGCACATGTGTACAAACAGATGGATAATTATAATGCATCTTTAAAAGTCAGCCTGTGAGCTCAAGTACAGGACTAATGAGCTGTAGGTGCTTTTTCCAACCTTCATTAGGAAAAGGAAATATTTTTAGTTTTCTTAATTTTTTAAATTAAGGTTTTCTGGGGGATGTTATTTTTCAGTCAAGGCCCTGCCAGACTTCCCACATCAGTTCTCAAGTTCAGGTTTAAATTGTTGTCCTTCTGCATTTCCAGGCTATGTCTCGGTTGTCGGACTTTGCAGCTTTGCCGCCTGTTACAGGCATGGTCCTCTCACTGATGAGTGGAGCAGAGGCCTTCTGATGTGGACACTGCGGTTCTTCTCCCTGGTCCTGGTCTACACTGGTGTGGCCGTGCCTCAGTTTGCCTATGCGGTTATGGTCCTCCTCCTGTTCTCCTGGAGTCTGTGCTATCCACTGAGAGCACTTGACTGTCTGAGGTGGTGAGTACCTTTTTATTGCTACCAACTCTGACATTTTGAGTTTTGGTTTTATTTATTGTTTGGAGAGATACTTTGGTTACATCTTACAGGTAATTATATTTAATCTGGAAGGTTCCCTCTGAGGGAACAGAGGAAAGAGAGCGCTAAGCATCTGCTCCCATCTCCACTGAGTTGTAACACCAATACTCGGAAGTTAGAGCTCACGAAAATCAGCGGCAAAACTGCCTGGGCTCTGGGTTGCCTAAGATGTCTACCTTTATCATACATTTCTTTTCATTAGAACCAAGATTGCTATAGTAATACTAATTGTGCTCATGAGATAAGCATTAGGAGAAAATGTATCATAAACGATTGGAAGGAGTTATTCAATTCATTTTATGAAAGGTTGGCTTTGTTTTAGGTTTTAAATTAAGGCTTGAGCTTTGTGAAAATACAGAAAGAAAGATAAGGTAGCTTCTGCTGACACAATACTGTTAGTGTTTCCTTAGTCTGTACATCTGTGTCAGGGGCACAGGTGGAGATGGTCCTGTCCTGGAGGTGTGCTTGTGGAGATAAGGGCATGCATTTATGTATCTTCTGCCTTTAAAAAAAAAAATATATGTGTGTGTGTGTGTGTGGGGGGGGTCTGCCATATGTTTGTGGGTACCCAGAATGGCCAGAAGAGGGCATTAGATCCTGTGGCCCTGGAGTAACAGGCAGTTGTGTGCCACCTGATGTGAGTGCTGGCAACCATGCTATAGTTCTCTGAAGAGCATTGGCATTCTTGGCCACTGAACTGTCTCTCCTGCCCCCACTTAACTATCCTATAAGTATGAAAACAAAGCTTGCCCAGGGACTGAAGTGTTAATCCGTGAATGGCTTCCTGGAAGAGATATCATTGAGTTGGCTCAGGCAACGGTGCTGTCAGCACAGTGAGTGAGGTGTGCTCTGGCTCAGCGCAGTGAGTGAGGTGTGCTCTGTCAGCGCAGTGAGTGAGGTGTGCTCTGTCAGTGCAGTGAGTGAGGTGTGCTCTGTCAGTGCAGTGAGTGAGGTGTGCTCTGTCAGTGCAGTGAGTGAGGTGTGCTCTGTCAGTGCAGTGAGGTGTGCTCTGTCAGTGCAGTGAGTGAGGTATGCTCTGTCAGCGCGGTGAGTGAGGTGTGCTCTGTTCCAGTGCAGTGAGTGAGGTGTGCTCTGTCAGTGCAGTGAGTGAAGTGTGCTCTGTCTGTGCAGTGAGTGAGGTGTGCTCTGTCAGTGCAGTGAGTGAGGTGTGCTCTGTCAGTGCAGTGAGTGAGGTGTGCGCTGTCCCAGTGCAGTGAGTGAGGTGTGCTCTGTCAGTGCAGTGAGTGAGGTGTGCTCTGTCAGTGCAGTGAGTGAGGTGTGCTCTGTCAGTGCAGTGAGTGAGGTGTGCTCTGTCAGTGCAGTGAGGTGTGCTCTGTCAGTGCAGTGAGTGAGGTGTGCTCTGGCCCAGCGCAGTGAGTGAGGTGTGCTCTGTCAGTGCAGTGAGTGAGGTGTGCTCTGTCAGTGCAGTGAGTGAGGTGTGCTCTGTCAGTGCAGTGAGTGAGGTGTGCTCTGGCGGGACGGGGAGCGTCACAGGCTGCACTGGGGAGTTTGGTCTGGTTCTGTGCACAGGGGCTGGGAAGGGGCCACCCAGTGTGTGTTTCCATTAGTTCTCTCTGGTTTCTGCCTGCACAGAAGGTATAAATCCAAACACTTGGGCCCAGGCAGGGGCGAGGCAGTGGGTGGCCAAGAGGACTGTGGGAAATTCTTCTCTGCACCCCCATCGCAAAGGCAGCAGTTAAAACCAGCAGGAGCTGATAGTTGCTATATGCAAATGTGGGTCCCTCTTTCAATCTGATATTCTAGAAAAACTGCAAATGTAGACTGGAATTCAAATGTAATCCTTACAGTGCAAATGTTGGCAGTTAATCTAATGAAAAATAAAAAATACACCTGACAGATGATAATTAAACTTGAGACAGTGAGTAACTGTTGGCTGGTGGGATAGACCCGTGTGCTTTCTGGCATAGAGAGTTGGTAGACGAGGAGGCTCCTACAGTGGAAGACATTCTTAGACATTGCTGTGGTCCAGACAGACACTGACACGGACCTGGAGTAGGAGAGGTAGAGTTTCCTTCTCCTTCCCTTAGCCACCCAACTGTCTTGGCAGTAGCAAGTGTGTCTTGTCATTGGCGTGATGACTCCATTATGCATCAATGGGGTGTTCTGTAACAATCCATATGTACTGTTATGTTGTCTGCTTTAAATTTTGCTAAAGAATGGTTATATGAAAACACAGAGACTAAAGCAGGAACTTACAAGTTAAACAACATTTGCATCAGACTTGCTAATTTGCAAGAAGCTGTTTACATATTACATACATGTTAATACTATATAATAGCCAATCTTTTGATTAGCTGCTGACAATTTGTATAAACGTCCCATTTCACCTGTACAGTGACTTATGAGACAGTGATACTCCATTCCTTCTTTTCATGTGGCACAAGTGGGGTGGAGCTGGGAAGCGATTGGCCATGTCCAGCCATGAGTGCATCCTCCAGCTGGGTTGTGCCCTGGTTTCTGGGCCAGAGCCTGGGTTTTCCTGTAGGAAACCTGGCTGGGTGTTCAGAAGAGGAGACAGAAACAGTGTCACTGGAAACCTGGCTGGGTGTTCAGAAGAGGAGACAGAAACAGTCACTGGTTCCTCAATCCAGTTCATCAACGTTAGACAAACCTTAAGAGGGAAGCCATCTTTGGTCTTTACGGTCTCAGCCCTCAAGGAAAATGTATGTTTTTAAACCCTGGGAAATCTCTACTTAAGTTAGAGTGCATGTCACCTGTAAACATTTTTAAGACTCACAGCTGAATGTAGTACAAATGTTATTTAAAACCTTATCACGAATATGTCCTTATTAGCATCTTGAATTCCTAAAGTACAGGTTGCTTTATTATTATGACATTTATTACTTTTCTGACTGGAAAAGCAAATCTAGTTTCTGGCTTCTTAGTGTGTGTGTAGCCGGAGAAGAACGAATGTAGGTTCTTTTCCATGCAGACCTTTGTGTGGCACTTCCTCTCTGTGTCGGGTTAGTCAGAGGCTCCACCACTAGGTGGAGGGGACAGCCCACAGATCCAGCTTCTTGTAGAAAGCAGTGTATGTCCCCGCTGGTCTCCATAAAAGGACATACTGAAAGCCTGTTTCTGTTTGTGTCAAAGAAAATCCGCAGGCAAAGAGTAAGGAAGCCAGACCTCTTGTCTATTGTGTGATTAGAAATCACTAAAAAATTGTAATCAACATCTCAATCAGAAATTGATTCTCAAAGGCCTTAGGACATCGCTATGATGGTCAGAGAAACAGGGAAGCACAGTAAGTAGGTCCACGCTGCCCGTTCCTTACCCCTCAGTCACAGGACTGGGAAGCACAGTAGGCCCACGCTGCCCGTTCCTTACCCCTCAGTCACAGGACTGGGAAGCACAGGGTGCTGTACAAGGAGTTCAGGTGTATTACCGTTGATGTCTAAGATGTGTATTTTTGTATGTCATAAGGATTGATTGGGCAGGAATCTGGCAACCAGATGTCATGTGTTTTAGGAAAATGAAGCAATGGTTCACAACAGAACCGCTGATGGTGAGGTACCTCACGGACGATGAGTACAGGGAGCAAGCTGAGGCAGAAACAACCAGCGCTCTTGAGGAACTGCGCCGTGCCTGCTGCAGGCCTGACTTCCCTTCCTGGCTGGCTGTCTCCAGACTCCAGGCTCCTAAAAAGTAAGTCCTACTCTGGCCACACCTCAGGTTCTGGGTGACTAGAAAATTGCATAGTGTTTTTGAGCACACATTTCTACTTAGAAGCAGCCATTTCTCTTGGTTATACCTTATACCAAAGTTGTTAGGGAGCTGCTAAGGTCTGAGAAAATATGGACCTGATGAGAGGCATTGACTCTGAGATATGGCCAATACTCTGCACTCACAAGGAGCAGGGAAGAGATGAGTGAATGGCTTGGATGCACCTGGCCGTGGTGGGGCTTCGTAAACCTGCACACACTTCCACCTCCCCTGCACAGCTGTCTGCAGAAGACTCACATAAGCCAGCTCTGTACTGGGTGTAAATACCTTCCTCGGCTGACACAGTCAGATTTAATTAAAAGGGATAAGCAGCAAGGCACACATCGTCTTTCAGATAAACCTCTGTGACAACATTAACTGTTTAAAATTGCTTAGATTTGCAGACTTTGTTCTCGGAGCGAGCCACTTGTCACCCGAAGAAGTCAGCACACACGAAAAGCAGTATGGCCTTGGGGGTGCCTTCTTGGAAGAGCAGCTCTTTAGCCTTCCTGCTGACAGTCTACCTGCAAGTTGACTTCCTTCTGAACAAGAGAGCGGGTAAAAGGCAAAGGTCCTGTTACCGTGGGCAGAACCATTTATGGACAGTGGAAAAAGTGTGCGCTGCAGAGAAAAGCCACTGAGGAAGGAAAAGCAAACCTGAGAACTGACTCTCGGCAGCTCACTTTTGCTGTAAGTGGCACAAGGACTCTAAGAATTGCTGCCACCTGCCCTGAGTGAAGAAGACCTTCCTTAGAACCGTGGGAACTGTTCTTTAGGACCAGGAAGCAAGGTCAGATACTGTCCCAGCACCAGGCACTAACTTCTCTCTTGATGCCCTGAGGTTGGGTCAAAAGGCTACATTGTTCTCCCTCCATTTCTTAATTAATTCAGTGTTTTCTAAAGTGCAGTCCACGTGATACTAGTCAGGGCTGGTGAAGGATGCTCACGCCAGTCGTGACTGACTCAGAGTCCCCGTCCTGCAGATTTCTCCATCTTCGGTGGTGTCAAGATGTGGGTCTTCTGAAAGGCAGACATCATGTACAAGGACTTCGGATTTATTGACCACAAACCATTTCTCATGAGATCAGTAATCTTTAGAACACATTTGGAAAATGCTACTGATGGTGTAATTTGGGTTTGAGAGACATGTCCTCCTCAGCAGCCCGGGCAGCGTCCCAGCCCTGGTGCATCCTGGGACTCAGGTAGAAGACACGTCTTCAGTTGCAGGGTCCGGGCTGTCTCCCCACAGCCTCGGTCTCACTGTGTTGGTGCCTCTGTTTTTTGTTTGTTTTTTAATAACAGCCTATCAGATTTAATAACTGAAGAAAAGGAAACATTTCTTATGATTATACTTAATGTATTCACAAGGTTTTATATGCAGACAGACTATCATTACTTTTTGTACTTTTTATATATTGAAAGTGAGATTTATTTTTTTTAAACTGCTTTTATATGTTTGCCATGATTTCTCACAAAATAGGTTTGTGATACTCTTTATAAAGAGCAAATGTTTGTTTCTTTGTCCGTGATAAACTCCAGCACAAAATGAGCCACTAACTATACCTCACCCGAAGGGCAGAAACGCGGGTCCAAGGGTTGAGTGTGGTGAACGTTCTGTGAAGAAGTTGCTGCTTGATTCTGAGAGTCGGATACAGAGTTGTTGTCTTTGTTTTGTGATGATAACAACACGAGCAACCCTCCTTTATAAAGAGAGGCACAGCGAGGGGCACGCACACAGGTTGTCGCTGTCATTTCTTGAGATCAGTGCTACCTTCCTGGAACTTTCTAGATTTCTCAAATGATCTTTCTGAAGCAGCCTGTCAGTGTTTCTAGGTCTGCTTTTTGACAGACATATTTAATATTAGGAGTCTTTTTGTTGTCTTTTTATTTTTTTTTAATGGTTGCTGCCTTTTGAGCCACAACTGTCTGAATCAGCAACTGCTAGGCCGCAAGGGCCGTAGCCGGAGGGAAATCTGTTCCCTCCGGCTCCAACTCTCGAATAACTAAACCTCCCCCCCTCTAAAGAAGTCAAGATTCAAAGGTTAAGATGGAATCCTGCTCTTCAGAGGCTGAATAGCAAGTAGCTCACCTCCTCTCCTTGCCCTCGTCCTCCAAAAAGCCCCTGTGTGTCTCCTCGCCCCTCCTCATAAACCCTTTCTCATCCGGCTCCTCCCCACCACTTCCTGTCAGCTGGTTAAAACTCACTGCAGGTGAGTTTTATTTAATCAAACACATCTTTGCATCATTAGACAAACATTCTGGAGCATAAACAAAAGTAACACACCTTGAAACACTATCCTACGACACTTTTTCCTTTCCTTAAAGCTCCACTCGGTTCAGTCTGTGCCTTTACACAGACCTTGATTTTAAAAAGTCAAAGAATGTGGTCTGGAGAGGTGGCTCAGTGGTTAAGAGCACTTGCTGCCTTGCAGAGACATGGGTTCAGCCCCCAGCACCCACATGGCATGACAGCTTACAACCATCCATAACTCCGGTTCCAGGGGATCTGATACCCTCTGACTCTGCAGGCACCAGGCATGCATGTGTTGCACATACACGCAGGCAGGCAAGACACTCATGCATAAAATAAAATTCTAAAATCTAAAAAATACATATCTATAAATATATACAAAACTGTCAAATGATGTGCTTCTGTCCTCTTGGCAACCAACTCTTTCGCAGGTATAGACAAGAGTTCTAACATGATTCGGCCGCAGCTGAATCTGGTTTTCATTTTCTGTAGCTTTATTTATTGGTGGCATACGGTAACATGTCAGATGTGCCTGCGCTCATGCCTAGCCACGGTCACCCTCGCTGAGCAGTTTGTCTAGGATAGACTGTGTGTGTGTGTGACGGACACAGGAACGCCTACTGATCCCCCGACAGCCCAGCCTTCCTGAGCCGCTGGACACTGCACTGTGAGGAGACAGCGCAAGTCAGTGTGACCGCAATAAAACATGGGCTGTCTTTTGGGATGCTGTTTTCCATGCTTATTTTTGGAAGAATCATGGATCTGTCAGGCTGTCACGTGATAACTGTGAGAAGCTAAACAATTAAAGCATTTCTGGTGAAGCTTCTGGTGGACTTGTATCCTTGGCCTCTGATTCAGCGGTTATCACAACACCAGCCACAATTCTAATCCCCACCAAGCAATGTTCACTTCTTCCCTTCTGACCGTCCTCCATCCCTGTTCCCTTTTCCCTTCCTCCTCCTCTCTCTGAAGGTCTTAAACAGTGTGACGACCACTCAACCAATGGCTGTGTCCTTCAGAGCTTGTTCTGTGTTTCACACCCTCATGGGTGTGCACTTACACACACAGGACCTGTATTGTGCCCTTGCTAACAGCAGATGTCTCACAAAGGCTTTCTGTTGCAAGCAAGTCGGACTGTTTGACACCAGATGTGTGGGTGAGAAACAGCGTAGGTGGCCATGCTTAAAATCATAACATTCAAATGTTAATTTAAAAACACATTTTACAAGCACCAAAAAATGCTTTGTGAATTAGTTATAGAGTTTGTCAATAATACTTAGGACTGAATTATAGGGGGGGTCCATGTGACAGGAAATATTTGCATTTATGATTTTTTTTTAGTCATTGTTTAGGAAATTTAAGTCATTAAAATTTTGGAATAGCTGATTATTACATTAATATATCTGAACGTGTATGTAGTTTAAGATACAGAGATGATGTTGAGAAAAAACCCAAATAGGATGCTACATTATCGTCTATTTGATGATTCCCCAGAATTAAATGATGTAGCCTTTTGGATTAGCTTTTCTGTCCGACTGAAGTTGGGATTCTCTGCATCGATAACACAGGATGTGGGGTGTGATGAGCCTGCAGTGAGTCTGGTATCTGTAGATGACCCCGTGAGCAAGCTGCCTTTCCAGACTCCCCACTGGGCAGCACTGCATGGACGGGTGGGGGTACCGTCTTTGTCTCCCACACCGGACTTTCATTCTCAGGAAGGCCTGCCTCCCCTTAGCCAATCTGTAGTCCACTCAGTGTTAGCAGCTGGCCCAGGGTGAAGACACCGAGACTGACAGGATAGCAGGTTGTCTCAGAAGAAACATCTCCCTGTGTCTGTACTGTCAAGCCTCTCCCTGAAACCTCGGTTTTACAGAGGAGGCTCCGAGGCCCTTATTACACTTACCTGTTCCTGACAGAGCGGACACTCCAGATAACTTCTGGCCCCAGAGCCCACGTTCTTAACCCTAGCACTGGGGTCTCAAAACTGGGACTTCGGTTGAGCCACAGCAGGGCAAGTGTGTTGCCGCCCAGAGCAGATGGGAATGGGGAGATGCTCACCGGGGCTGGCTTACGTTTTCCCAGTCAGCATTGAGTTACCCCCTTTTGTAAGCCTCGGCTGCCCCTGCATAAACCACGTAGTTTCTGCCTTGAGAAGTTTCCTTTCCTTCTCCCCCTCATCCTGTCCTCATAGAGCAACCACTTTTGCAGCGGCCCAGCTGTTTAGGAGTCTTGCGTCAGGGATTTTTAAGGCTTTGGGGAAACAGGACATGAGTAAACTAGAGTTCCAGGTGGAGCCTGTGTCTTGTCTCGGTGCACCGAAGGCCGAAGAATTTCTAGATGGGAAGTCGCTGTTTTTCTTTCTTGTAATCGTCTCTCATAATCATATCCTCATCTTCACAGGGTATCATAACTTGGGTCCAAGTGCTCTTGCAGAAGCTGGGGAAGTGGAGGCCCTGAAACTTCCCAAAGGTGATGTCTTCCCGTATGCTGTGTGCTGTCTAGTATGGCCGTTTGCAAGGCAGGAAGAGTTTTAAAATTAGAAATTCAGTTATTCAGAGACTCTAGCCACATGTCAAGTGTAAGAGTCACAGGTAGCTTGTAACACTCATCCTGGGACAGCCAAAGTAGAGCATCTACAGTCTTTGGGAAGTTCTACTAGGCTAGGCTATTACTTGGGATGCTGAGTTTGAAGGTTGTAGGGAGTGTCTAGAAATTCAGAATAGAAACAAACAGGTATGGGATTCGCGGACACAGGAAGTAACAATGTTATAATGGAAGTAACAAGTGGCCTCCCCTCCCACAAGGATGGGAAGGTGGTAGGCAGAGCAGGGCTGCTGTTAGCAAGATTTGAGTCCCAGTCCTAGCTCTGTGACTGTGATCTCTTAACAGGCTCTGTTAGCTTCAGAATCTCCTATTTTGAATGAGGTTGGTGATGTGTACCACGTAGGGCTTTCTAAAGACAAATGATTATCTCAGCACACAGCAGTCACTAACCATGAGCTTCCATTTCTGCAGGCGCTCCACTAATATGCTGGAAGGCCTATGGCCTCGGCAGTGGTCCCAGTAACAGCTGCAAATGCCCTGTTCCTGTTGCCACAGCAGGGTTACTAGGATCGTAAAGTATCACCATCCTATGATGCTGGCTTTTCAGGTGTGCAGCCCTTTGGAATGTACTGTTACTCTTCTTAAGGCTTTAAGGATTAGTCTGGTAAATAACAGTGAACCAATTTGGGTTCACATGGAACTGTAGGGTAACACTGTTCCTGCAGGCTAGGAGAACAGGAAAAATCATTACAGCAATGATTACCAGCCTGGGCTTGGACACTCCTGAGTATTTCCAGGGAGCTCCAGAGGGGTTATAAAATTCTCAAATCAGGTTTAATTCGAATTCACTTTAATATTTTTTAAGTGGTATATGGCACTTTAAGGACAGGAAGAAAAAGTCACAAAGTCCACAAACTCATGAAGGTGTCAGCTCTAAAGGCTGGAAATCACTGCATTGTTGGACCAACGCTCACAGTAAACATTTTGTAACAAAGGCATGTTGAGTTTGGTGTCATTCATCACGGAGCAGAGGGTTCCACTCGTTTGGTCACATGTTTTTCATCTAGGAAATATTTAAAAATGGTATTTACTTTTTATTTCAACAACATCCATTGAGCATCTCCAAAGCAGTCGATCAGAACTGTAAACACACACAAGGTCCTGGCTCCCTACAGTCAGTTCCCAATCCACATGCTGTACATTCAGAGGTGGGGCTCGGACTGGCTCCCACTTCACCCCAGTAACTACACGAGCATAATAAATAACATCTGATTTTAAAGGTCACTTAAAATGAGTCATGGTGATTGACAGTACAGTACCGTTCAAGTGCAAAAATAACCATCTGCTTGACTGTTTCCGTCCTTTCAAGCTGTGTTTTGTGGTAAAGCCAGACATCCAGGTGTAGAATGTCTCCTCCCAGACGCAGGGACAAGCAGAGCTGTCCCAGGGAGGCCTTCACGTTACAGCTGATCCTGTCTGCTCGGGGTCAGAGGCTAAGGTGAGCTTCCATCTCTACCCATTCTCTCGAGTTCATCCTCGATGTCTATCCGCACTATGACTGCCCTTCGTTCGGCCATGGTGCATTCCGCGTCCACAGGCCTCCCAGAAGCCTCTCCTTTCCGCCCAGGACACTTCCTCTGTCTGTGGTGGTAAAAGGTGGAGCTAGCCCAAACCTGAAGGTTCCAGTGTATGACTACGGTTAGGGGAGAAGAACATACTAAGATCTGTTTAAGTCTGAGACAGTTCTTCTTGTCCCCACGATTCCTATTCCTGGCTTCCAACTTACTGCTTCACAAAACAGACCTAACATGTAATTTTTAAACACAGTGTCCCTCCCCCAGGCACTTAAATCTTATCTTGCCCTTTGTAAATAGTACAGCGACGGCTGTTGCTGTGGGATCTGCACTGTCAACCCTCGTCTGTCAAGTTTAGGAGAGTGACTTGGGGGGATTCTTTGAAATAGTCTCTCACTTCTGCTCATTCTTACAGCCCATTGAGACAAGGGCCTTTTAAAGCTCCACTCAGTGTGTGGTAGTTGGTAACAGAGCTCTTTTCGCTATAGACCATGTGCATATAAAAATAGATTTGCTAGAGATGTGCAAGGTTCAGAGAAACTTTGAACCTTTTTAAACAACAAAAAAGTGTATGTTCCACTAACTTCCATCTGGTTCCCTTTTAAATATGTCTTATAATTTTTAAAATGCCTTTCTTCAAGACAAATAAATCTATAGATGCGCTCTTTTTATCTCGCTTTGCACCGAGAACCCAATATTTAGAATAAATAATCAGAAGAGGAAGATGATGTCACAGTTCACCTTGATACCTGTTCATTTGGTGTGAGTTTTGCTCCCCACTCATAGACCCTGGCAGAGGAGTTAGCTCAGACCTAACCAACCAAGAGGGGAGGTCCTCACCCAACACTGTCCTTCTGCATCTACAGGACTGTGGAGGTTTCCCTTTTCCTGCCAACAAGTACTATAGCTCGTGTGTGTGTGTGTGTGTGTGTGTGTGTGTGTGTGTGTGTGTGTGTGTGTGTGTATGGTTCCACAGTAATGATTTAGATAGTTAGAAGCATATGCAGTGCGGTGCTCCCCGTGGGGAGGCATGTCCAGGGTGAGGGCCTTGCCCTCTGTGTCCTGGCTGAGGTGCCTGGTGCCATGCAGGGTGCGAGATGATCAGGAGCCCTTCAGTGTTCTCCTGCCGTGGGCGGAGCCAGCTGCTCCCCACTCTCCTCTACATGTGGGGCAGCACTGGGGTGAGCAGGGCTGGACTGCGTTTGAGATGCTGCTGTGTCAGGGAATGGCTGGTTTCTAGGTGGGTCAGAGTGAGTCTCACAGGGGACACGCTGGACTCCACCAACTGCAGAAATTTCCCGATTCTCACTGGTCCCCTGGAAGGAAAAAAACAAACAGATGTTCCATGGTGTGAGGAAGAATAAACCCAACCCATTATAGATATTTTCAAGTAAGAAACAGCAAATGTGCGGCAATCCAGTGAAAAGCCCACTTCAGGGACCAATGCATGAAGGAATAGGATAGACATCTTACCTTTCCTTTCCTTTCCTATGTGCAACTGCCAGAGCCGCATGAAAAACACAAACACTGTGAGAGACATGTCTTATGGCTAAGGGAACAGTTATCAGTGTTCTTGTCGCTACCAGGCAAACAACTTACATTCACAGTTACTGAGTGCTCCACTTCGTGGAAAGTCATGGGGCTACGGCCATAGGACACCTGAATGCCAGCCACTGGGAAGACCGCAGTAGCCAAGAGCCAGG